GATGAGCAATTTTGCTTCCTGAAGCAGTCAACCCCACTACCCTGGGACCAGACACACTGGGAATTGTGGTTACAAGCATTACATTTGGGGGAAAATGTCAATGCTGGTCGAAGCTTTTCGACTTCTCACAAATCGGAGTTTGCTAATTCATTTCAGTCCTTTCCGACAGGGTTCTGTTGGCGTTTTCATGGAGGGAAGTTCTGCCCTGGTTGCCGTTTGTGCTTCAAGTGTGGGGCAACTCATCCAATTTTCAAATGTGGTTCCCGCAGTTCCACTAGTCAAATCAATGGGGGATTGCCACAGCAAACTAACACCAGAAAAAGAGAGAGCCCCCACTATACTCCCCGGGGTCCTATTGGCTCCAAGCCCCCAACTGCTGCCTTTAGTGGTAACCCCAGTAAAAGTGCCCATTCTGAGTAGATTACTGATGGGTTTTGATTTGGGGAAGGCGTTGTGTTTGTTGGATGGTTTTTCAAAAGGGTTTTCTTTAAAATATGTAGGACCGAGAGTTGGAGGGTCATCCCCTAATTTGAAATCTGCATTGAATAATCCAGACATTGTTTGGGATATGCTTCAAACTGAGGTGCAGGCAGGCAGGGTTGCTGGTCTTTTTCAAGCTCCACCATTTAACAATTTGCGTAATTCTCCTGTAGGACTAGTGCCCAAGAAACAACCTAACAAGTTTCGCTTAATCCACCACTTATCTTGTCTATCAGGCTCATCAATAAATGATGGTATTCCAGCTGAGTTGGCAACTGTTCAGTATGCCAATATTGATGAATCAGTTAAGATTATTAGGGATCTGGGTCTAGGCTGTTTCTTGGCTAAAACTGACATCAAATCAGCATTTAGAATTATTCCAGTAGCTCCACATGACCATTGTTTGTTGGGTTTCAAGTGGGATGATCATTTCTTTTTCGATAGATGTCTTTCAATGGGGTGCTCAACATCATGCCGCATTTTTGAACATTTTAGTTCAGCTTTAGAGTGGATTTTGCTTAAAGTTGTGGGCGTTGAGGCAACTATCCACATTTTGGATGATTTCTTATTTCTGGCACGAACTAGGAAGCGCTGTTTTTCGGATTTGCAGCCTTTTTTGGATTTGTGTGCTGACATTGGGGTTCCAATTGCACAGGAAAAGACCATGGCACCCAACACTTCCATGGTGTTTGCAGGTATTGAGTTAGACACAGTTCAAGGCGAGTGTCGACTGCCACAGGACAAACTGTTGCGTTGCCGCAGCTTGATTTATACTTTCTTAGTAAGGAAAAGGGTGATGCTCAAGGAATTTCAGTCTTTGGTGGGGACCTTAAATTTTGCATGCATTCTGGTGGTTCCAGGCCGGGCATTTTTGCGTAGCTTAATTGATTTGACAAAAGGAATAAAGAAACCAAATTTTTATATCCGATTGACCAAAGAGGTTAAAGCAGACCTTCTTGCGTGGAAGCGGTTTTTGGGTGCTATCTGGCATTCGTCCGATTCTCTTTGTTTGTTCACAGATGCAGCAGGGTCACTGGGGTACGGTGGCATTTTCAGTTCTCATTGGTTTTTTGGGGAGTGGCCAGCTGACTGGAAAGTTCTTAATTTTGCAGTCTTGGAGTTATTTCCAATCATGCTAGCTATTGAAGTGTGAGGGCATTATCTCAGTAACAAGCAGATGTTGTTCTTCACTGACAATGAGGCCCTGGTGTCAGTCTTGAATAAGCAGTCGGCAAAGGATAAGGACCTGATGGTTTTAGTTCGTCGGATCGTGCTCATTGGCCTTCAGTTTAACATTCTTTTTAGAGCAAAACATATTCCAGGCAGGCATAACATGTTGACCGACTGTCTTTCTCGTTTGCAGGTGGATCAGTTCAGATCAATGGCGTATGGCATGGATACCAATCCAACCCCAATTCCTTCACATTTGCTACCAGTCAATCGGAAATGGAAGTAGGCAGACTTTTACAGCAGGCTATTTGCAGCTTCTCTAGGACAACATATCAGCGTGCATGGCGGTTTTT